CTTTTAACGTAACAAAAAAGATCGTATAAAAACGAAAAATGCCGATTTCAAAATAACGTTAGAAAAATTCATTAGTCATATAGGGGTGCAGAAAATCCCTCATTAAGACGACCTTCAGTTAACGCGTTTTTTAAAGACTTTTTAAAAATCGGCCAACTTCTTTTTGCACCCTCTAGAAAGCACAAACCTCAGATTTCACAATATTATCAGTTTCGGTAAAATCATTATAGTGTTTTAACGTTACGTTACCTTTCTTAGTTTTATTTTTAATCGAAATATCTCGTTGGAAATGGAATAAAATAAACAGGAACTGTCGCTGCCACATATGTCCCAGAATTTCTATACATTTTTATATTATACGATAGTGTGTGACGTAGTTTAAAAAAATTGATAGAGTCGACGCATTTATTAGAGACAAAAACAAAGCGTCGTAATATATAGCGCGAAGCTATTTACCCACGCTTGCATACTAAAACGAAAATGATGTAGCAAATACATAATAATATTTCACGCCATTTTGGCGCTTACATTTTAGATGTTGCCCCGACAAAATATAAATTTTACTAATTAGATATCTATACAGGGCCGAACGCCGATAATCTTTCTTGATTTGGTATTATTTTATTTACCACAGACAACTTTCAATTTTATACCTCATCCATCAAGTTCAGCCCTAGTATGAAGTTCGTCACTTTGTATTGGTGTTGTTGATTTTCAATCTCCACGATGCCCTGGTATTGAGTATCTAATCCTTCCCATCGGTTTCCTGCATTTGTCTCCCAATGTTGATTTTGTGTATGTGGTGTTTGAGGTCGTATACATTCCTCTCAGTAATTGTTGACAGCTTCGTCGAGCCTTCTAGGCTGTGGTCCTATTGGTAACATTTATTTCCTGTCCTGTCCTTTCCGGATTTGGCTTTTCTTTTTCTTCCTGGCGATAATGTTCCGGTGTCGCTGCTAGGACTACCTTAATTACGTATGTCGGATAGAGCCTCTTAGCAATTTCTTACGATTTTTAAGGAGGTCGATGCGATTTCGACAACTTCAGTGCTGTCTGCCTATCCTTATGTTTCTTTGTGTAAATAGCATTCCTACGTCAATTCTTATACAGAGTTCGGTGGCATGAACTTTTGGAATAAGGTGAGATACGTATCAATATGTATCGTCTTCCGATGTTTCCAATAGATGCCGACCTCAACATCTTCATTTAGGTTTTGGAATCAGTCTTGTCCTGACACGCTAGTCCTTGGTTTATTTCGTATAATTAGGTGTCATGTCTGATGGCAGCTCCAGCAACTAGTTGCAACAAATAACGCACGCTTATGTCATATCCAGTGTCGCCTGATATAGTCTGTAGGTTGCTTAACTTGCCTTCCCCTTCAGGTACATTTGAAGGGAAGGAGACGCACCTGTAATGTCTAGACGTGCCACCCTCGTCGGCCTGACTTGTAAATGCATGTGCCAGATTTCAATTTTGTAGAAAAAATTGAAAGAGTTTTCATGTACAGCCACTTTTAACGAAGCGTCCTAGATTGACATTCACACCTTTAAGAGTATCAAGAAGAAAATTAACAATATACTCTTTTGTTTCTTTTGTTTTTTATGTTTGTAAGACTGAGTAGGTAATATAAGAGATTAATGTCAAGAATACTGCACGTAAGACTTTAAATAATTCACTGCTCTTAGCCTTTCCCTTCATATAGTACATTTTCTTCATAAAATCTAACTTTTATGATTGGCTGGGAAATAGATATATTACGGGGTGTCTAACCGTTATAAAGATAATGCGGCCTTATATTAGCCATTAGTTTCGAGGGAACTTTGCAAAAGCTTTTACATCAGGGTCCTGTGTAATGGCATCGTACTCTGCGTAGGTTCAAGTTTAATCCATCATAAAGGCGAGCAAAATTTGAAAACGTGGAAAAAGATAGCAAGTTAATTAGTTGGCTCGATTTTTGACCAGTTCCTCCGCCATTTAATGAATTTTTAATAATGCCGGCCTAAGGAGGTAGTGTATGAATGGATGATTTTACAACAGTAGCAATGTTCTTTTATCTTTTTAACCAAAGTATCTAAATGGAAGTAGTTCATTATTATATTACAACAGTAGCAATGTTCTTTTATCTTTTTAACCAAAGTATCTAAATGGAAGTAGTTCATTATGCAAAATTGAATAAAACGCGGTTTGTTGAAACCAAAAGAACTTGCAATGTTGGACAGATGGATCACTTATCCAAAACTTTTAGTTTCAACATGCAAACATGTCTTCCACATTTAAGGAAACACTGTTATATTGACCATATATAAAAAGCAACTAAAAGGGCAATTAGTGGTATCAATAAAATCACAACTCTGTTAAAAGAATCTTTAATAGAGAGCATAAGCTTCATTATGTACAAGCAGTTAAAAGTATTTACAAATACATACAATATCAAAAAATTATTCATCTTAAACCCTGGTTCTAGTCCAATCATACTGTTTCATTCAAGAGCAGCACCACCATTCGAAATAACAGCCTAAATCTAATTTGCAAAAATAAAGGTTATTTTTCTGTACACACAAACACATGTATTAGTAATAAAATATGATATTTTGCTATAATTATAAACATTCTAAAACTACACTTGAGGACAGTTGTTCAATTTAAAATTTAAAAAATTAGGTAGGTATACCATATATTTGAGGATTACCAATAATAAGCAGAAGTAAACCGCATAAAAATACTGACTATGTAAATTTTAAATAAATTGTGGCACTGATACTGTTATTAAACAACTGATTGTTCAACAATATAAAGCTTATAACGTCTTTTAAAATCAATATTGCAGCTATTCATGTAAAACATGGGTAAACGAAACGACATTGTGCAATAAGGAAAATGCAAAAAGTTAGCGATACTTCCCGAATAATTATTCATTTTAAATACTAACTATAATAATAGGCAAAAGAGATGATGTCACTAAAAGTATATTTCTTAAAACAACTGAAAACGGAAATACCTAACTTAAGACCATTCTCTATTGTTTTAGTTACAGAATTTTGAAGATTATTTGGATTCAAATGAAGTCAAAATTAGAAACGAAAAATTAATTACATTATTTGTGTACGCCTTTACAGTAAACGTAGATACTACGTTGTCTTATATAAAAAACGAATAAAATTAATTAAAAAAAAAATACTAACATGTAAAGTGTAAACCACACAATATATTAATATATAACTTATTAATTAATAATATTTGTAGTCCTAAACGACTCTTTAATAGTATACTTTTTAAGCACCTAAAATAATATTTTTTTATAAGCGTATGACGACTGTACATAAAAATATTAAGCGGAAAATTCTCCTTTTTCGTGTTGTGAATGAAATACATAGCGATTTTAAAAGTGATTTAGGAGAAATTGAAGTAATTATTGAAAATGTAGTTAGTCTTCTTAAAACACAGTGTAGCAGAAAGAGTACATTGTACTACAGTTTTGGTTTATTAACTAATATGGTATATGCTGGATATCTATTATTTAATTTTTGTTGTTGATAAACACCGATCATTCGTTAAAAAATATCGTGAGTGGTTTACCAAATTTATGACGTTTATGCGGAATTAAAAACTTCGCATTTTTTCTGATTTATGCTTAATTGTCACTAGTAAGTTAATAGTAGGTCAGTCATTAGGTCAAAATACACATTGATAGGCACCATATACCAGTCCAAAAGTTACAAAACTTATTGATTGTTTTTTTTTACATTTAGGGTACCTTAGTTAGATGGACCAAAATGACATCGCCATTTCTATTATTAAATTTGTGGCTTCAAAATGATATCGCCTACCTATTTACACTGTAGAGTGAAAAATCAATACACGAAGGTATAAACCAGTCCTAACTAACTGGATGTATATGAAAGAAGACATTTAAAAACTAGCGAACTAATGGGCCGATACGAATTTGCCTTTTTGTATAATTTCTTTCTTCAATAAGTACCTAATACCTCTAACCTCTTAAAAATATAAAAATGAAAGTACTCAACGTGATAGTATAACAAAAAAAACTGCTGCACGGTCCGTATAGAAATCTCGGTTGACCGGCGAGCAGCAACAGCGAAACAACGTTAATGGAAATATTACGGAAAGTAACGTAGCACCAAAAATCACTATTATCCAATAAAATTTCAAAAAAAAATGTATTGCTTATGATGGATTATCCCATTGTCAATCGCCTTTCGTAAAAGGTATCCCCGGCTCCATCTTGAGCAGGTTACTGGTAGGGTCGTAGTAACCCGCCAGGTAGTAAATGTCGTTGTTGTCGTAGATAGAGGCGTATCTCCTCGGATCGTCTCCTAGGCGTTCAGTGTATTCGTTCAAAGGTAACACTTCGCATTTGTGAGATATTGTCTGAACGTCGTTTTCGTCTACGTGAGGTGATTCAAACAGCGCTCCCTGTAAAATAATTCCAAATTATATTTTCGTGTTGATGCCGTAAACAGTTAGTAAAGTCCTGTCATAGTAATTGTGCAGTAACATCATAGCATGATATCTTTACTAGTTCATTACTGGATGTCGGAAATTGACCCAGGAATTTTGTTTGTCAGTTATGATAGCAATATAGTTAAGACATTGTACACACATTGTACGTGACGTCACTGCACAACTATTCTGGCTAGAGTATAACACTAAACAGATATCTGTAAATTTGTTATTTTAGTTATTCTCGTGAAAAGTTTGCAGCAAAATAAAATGAAATATGCAAAACAAAATATTGTTAGGTTGTGTTGGATCTCAAGCTATGGTCGCATTGCTAGTGATGACGATTCTGTTGTGCATACGGAGTAAGCTTCACACAGAGCAGCAGTATTTAATTGCGCTCTCTGAAACCTTTAGAATACCACCATAAACTTCACCTGTTGGCTACGCACAGACGCAAGAATCAGAATTTCCATCGGCTGCATTCACCGGCACAGGCGAATCATTTTTCTCCAGCATTTTATACGTCAAGGCGCACGAGTCATTTTGTTATTCTCAGGCTAAGCAGATTCAAACAAAAGACGCGTGGCAATGGCGAAACGTAGAATTATTCAGAGAGTTAGATTAGGTTTAATGAAGTTTGCGGACGCATATCGATTGTACAACGAAACTAAATGTTTTGTCTTGCAGTTTTGCTAGCAAATTTGAAAATTTGGTGAGTGTCTATTTGTTGCATCTTTTTTTTGTCAATGCGAACGCGCAGCACATTTTAGCTTTCAGTAGAATTACAACAACAGGTGGTACTGGGGAACCACCGTAATAATAGAGTTTTTGGAAATCCTGGGTGATTGTTGATTGTTGATGTAAGGCCACATACAATATTTTCACCAAATGTAGGTTCACACGAAAAAGGCAATACATAAAATTTGTGGAAATTGAATGGAAAATTCAAAAAAAAAATATTGAAGAACCACTTTGTTTCAAAAATATTATTATACTATTATAAAAAGAAAAAAAATTTCTTGACACAAGCAATTTTTTTTTTCAGTAAAAAAAATAGTTTGTTATCAATTTTTCGAGTTTGTCAAGGAATATTCGGTGTATCCTGTAATTATTAAATTATTCAATTCATTTTAGTTTCTTTTCAACTTTTAATTGTTGTATACTTTTATACTAAAGCAATATTTTATTGTTCCGCTGGTTGAAAAAAAAGGTACTATGCTCTGTTTTTTAATGCGAGAGAGTTATAAATCATTATATAACTGTAAAAATTAGTCGTAGCAGTATTCTTACAGGCGCGATTTTGTACCAATAATGATTAACGATGATTAACCTGTGCCTTAGTGTTCAAAATTAGAATTATAGTGACTTTCCGTCAGTTGTCCACCCTGGGTAATGCTACTTGTCATTGCACATTTACATTTTATTAAACTAAATATAAACGAGTGGAGTAAAATAGTGAAACAATTCTGCTGTACCTAAGACTTTTTCTAATTCTCCCCTCTGTTGATTTGTTAATTTTAGTTTATGTGTAAACTTTAATATTTCATGTTTACGTATACATATAAAAAATATATTTCATCAGTCGCGGGGATGCTATTGGTTTTATGCTTTACTTACTACCTGTGAGCAGGCAGATACAGAGTATATATAGATAGATGGTGGTAATAAATTACTTCTTTAAATAAGTTAATTAAAAACGATTTTAAGAATTTGAAAAATAAGTAGACAATGCCTGAAGCTTTATTTCAATTATTATTTTATTTATTGGCAAATTTATCTTTTTTGAAAATTAATAATAAGAAAACTTTCCGTATTCCAAAATATTTAACACAGAACGAAGTTGTAAGTCGTAACTTGTAGGAGAAGCGTAAAAGAAAGCATATGTCGGAAAACGGATGACACTCTTGTTGTTTCGAGAAAGACACTTACGGGATATTGGAGATTCGTAGGACACCCAACAGTTTCTTCGGGATGATAAAACCATTTCACTTTAACTACCATGGTACCGCAAAGTTCCCACATCGCTTCAATGCGCCCAATGTACGGTCGGTCTGGTCTTCCCGTGGACAGAAATACAGCCGAATCTCCCACCTAAGGAAGGTGGGATCAGACTTAATATGTGTGGTGACATATATCAGACGACGATCAAATAGGCGTAGAAGTCAGTCCATTTGCTGATAACGAATGAAACTCATTATCCGAGAGCCATATTTGACTTTGGACATTTGATCATTCCGATTTGATCCTTACAAGCCTAATTTACGTCTCCACAAAAATTTATTTCTACCAAGAGCATTGAAACTTGTCATTCGTCTTCTAAAAACGATGGACTTTGACACAGAGACGGAATTTTGGTTAATTCTGGTTGATGTCAACCGTTTAATGTCGAATTCGGAATTTATTTTTATATTATAACCATTGAAATTATTATTAACCAGTGGTTCTCGAAAGTCCATTTCGTGATGAATCACTACAACAACATGCGATTTTTTTTCAGCATAGCGGAACCATTCTAGAACGATTGCTAAATTTAAATTAAGACATTATCATTTCGTAGCTATTAAACTTGGAACAGGAATCAATAAATTGTACCCAGTTCAAAGATTTGCACTTTATAATGCAAAAAAAAAACGAAGAAGCTTAAAATAAATTTAGGAATGACTCTAGAATAATTTTACAAAATACTAATCAAAATGAAGTTAATTAACGCAACTGTTACTAATACGAAAAAAAACATCGAATAAAATAAAATTAGAAAATAACAATTCCTCCAATTCGTAGAAAAAAACCTTTTTGACAGAATAATAATTTTAATTTAATTAAGTTAATTTAAAACGATTGAGGAATGGTTTATGAATAAGCATTAATTAAAGAATGAAGGAACACCAACAGGCAAGTTTTTTCCATGACAAACAAGTATAGTGTAACACAATCAAAGCTTATCTACTTTTTACTGGGTAGCTGTATGGAAACTGACTCAGAATATCATTGCATCTTCTAATTTTAATTTCTCATTATTGATTTTTGATATTTTGAATCGGTCTTTTATCAATGGAAAATGAGCGTATAGCGTGTGTCGTTCGTCGGATAGCTATGCTTCAAAAAACATAAGCTTACCTTTTCAATGGCAAAATAATTGGAATGATAATAACATTAAAATACGTGGTTGTTATTTTGTTAGTCCGGGACTAGGTAGAAACGTCGTGTTAGAAAATAACCAGAACGAATAATACATACAGTTATGGATTCTTTTCCCCTCTGGATCGCTTTGTAGAAGCACTTCTTTGATTTTCCTTTAGCCCGAGGTCTTTTGTATCCTTTTCCAGACCAGTGCCACAGTTGCCTTGCAGGAAGGAACGCGCTCATTTTGCTTCTGCTCTCGCACGACTCTTGTCTGTCTCGTATCTTCTTAGATTTCTGCGAATTCAAGAATACAATTTTACAGGTTTACAAACATTGCAAACAATGTTTACCTTATTTTTCGTTGCCTCCAGAATATCATCCATGGTAACTTCATCCTCAGGGTTAGCCACAATTTCGTATGCGGGAAAATCGTCTAAACTATCTTGTTTCGACGATTCGTCATCGTCAGCTGCATTGCCGATGTCCCGATTTTCTTCCACCTCTTCGGAGTTGACGTCCTCCTCGTTTTGTTCTTCGATAATCGTTGTTAAATGGGAATGCATCGTTTCCGGTTCCAATTTATTCTTTTCGTGTCGCTTCTTGTGTTTCTTGTGCTTCTTGTGGTGTTTCTTATGCTTGCAGTGTTCGTCGACGCACTTATGTTTCCTCCTCTTTTTCTTCTCGTCACCCAAGGTCTTCTGTTTCAATTTATCGCGCTTCTTTTTCTTCAGGCGTTTCTTTTCTTTGTGGAGTTTCTCGACGTCAGATTTGGTTTCTTCCATAACAGGTTTGACGGTTTCACTTTTTTGTACCTGTGGTCTGATACTGTCCGTCGGTTGAATTCGTTTCTCTTCAGTCGATACGCTGGTGGAAGTTCTTCGTCTGCGTTTGCAGAGACTTAGAAGAGGATTGGGGTCATATTCTGTCAATATAGAACACAAAATTTGGAGTCCAGAATAGTGTTGGATGTTGAATAAACTTACCCATTATCGGATAATTAGGAGGTAAGAGTCTAATGTCCTCTAGAGCTATTCGACCACTGTCGCCATCGTCAAATTCGACGGAAACGAATTTTCCGTCCAGGTGAGGATCCGGAGTGCCCGGCTCTGCAGCACTACCTGGATAGAGACATCTGTATTGTTGGCTCCAGTAGGCGCATAGGCGGGTCCCTACCGGCAAGTCTTCAGTGGATTTCGGAGATATTTCCACGATCTGTAAGAAACGGGACCTTTCTTTTATGGTATCAATCAAGGTTTTCAATAGCTATTTCAATTTTTTTCCCAAGTATAGTGAAAATAAAGTCAAAATACTTTATTCAATAAAACCAAAGTAGAATGAATGATGTCAAAAGAACTGGAGGTTAGATAATTTAATCACAACTTATTTTTTGTTATTATATTTTTTGTTATTAAATTTGACGCGCGATTTCATAGCGTACATGTTTCTTTATCCTTGTCAAAAGAGCAAAAATAATACATAATTCTACTTAACATTTGATGAAATAACATTTGCAATTTGGAAAACACTTATTTAAGCAGACTGAATGTAATTTAAAAACTAAAAAGCAAAAATGAAAATTATATCATTATTTAAAAAGTTGATATTCATAGATATTTAGATTTAAACGTGCTGATGAGTGTTTTAAATAAATCACATATATGTACTGCCTACAATGTATCACATCAATCGCAATCATAAATATGTCTTTAGGAATTTAAACTTCATCGTTTTTTCAGTTGAATTGGTAAGACATCGAAACTCGTATAGAAATGTCCAGTTTACTTCTACACAAAAAAGCTCTCGTTTAATTGTAAGTGACAATTTCAAGTTTGAAAATCGACAATACGTCAATAAAAACATATTTAAATAATTAATATCAAATCAATCAAGTAATGCGTAATACATCCCTTGGAGTGATGCAAAACTTGATAGTATATAATATGTTTTTGAATGTTTAAAAGATGAATCACAAAAAAAAATCTAAAAAGCATTAGTTTGTTCCTCAAGTGATTTTCAGCAGCTCTACGAACTTTTTGCTTGTAACATTAGCTCATACCCATGCGTTTTTGCATGCTGATTCAGTAGCTGCAGTGGTTTATAGTTTATAGAGATATAGTAATTGCAATATTGATTTTGTCTATTGTATTTATTAGAGACCTTTGTTATAAGAGTCTCATATTTGACAGTGGACAATATGTCAGTAAAAAAATGTTTAAAAAATTCATATTAAATCAAGAACTCATAATAGTTAAATATGTGTAGAGTGACGAGCTTCGTAATATATGTATTTTAGGATGTTTAACCTACGAGTCACTAAAAAGATTCTAAAAAGATAAATAATTGCTTACTACAATTTTTCTACGAGTACAACTTATTCGGTGTGCATGGACCAAGAAGTGGCTTTCTCTTCTAAAGCGTCAATAAAATGTCATTTCAAGAATTAATTAGAAGCAAACCAAAAACCAAGTCAAGCCAATAAAGCACGTGTCTTGACAATTACTATACAAATAAAAAAATATACTACTCTTATTCACTCCACATTACACATTATTATTAATATTATTGGCAATATTGTAAACTTAAAATTTCAATGATGGTTGACTTTTTTGATAAATCTGAAACAAAAAAAAAACAACAAACTAACCAAAACTATTTACTATTGGAAGTCATAAATTATTTTGGTAGTGAGTTTAGTTCTAATGGGCTATCGACCTATATACATATTTAAAGCTTATTATTATTTTATTCCCGGTAATTATTTAAATGAATTATTGATTCAACCACTCAGTGAACTTGGGCACACAGCTGGGAAGTGCTTGACGTATACCACCATATTCATGGCGCAAGCTTTAAATTAAATTTTATTTGGGTGGGCGACTTAGTACAATTATTCAACGTCCGTTTTAGCGTGCGAATTGCGGAACCAAATTTAAATTAGTACCTTTATTATTTACTACCAACGTAGTAATTACGGTACGCACAATGGGTTAATCAGTAAGTTCTTTTGTATGTGGACTCATTTAAATAACAATTATACACAATTTTTTTCGAAAAATAAAGTCTGCCCATTTATATATTGAAATTATTTTTTTAAGGACCGACCACATTGTATTTATTAGCATTGCCTGGAGATAATTCTACATATACCTATTGTTTTTCAATGATATGAACTACTTTACTTGATTCGGACTAGTCTTAAGCCTAGATACTTCTTATGATTCACCACTAAATGGAAATGGAATTGATTTTTAGATTTCTATGAGTTTAATAGGGCCTCTCTGCTAATTTGTAAACAAATTAAGTCGCACATTGATTTCCAAGCTTACTGTACTTAAGCATTATCATCGATCAAGAACATACCTAATTTCCTAAAGCTCCGAGTTGAGTAGTTTATGAAATGGGGCGGTAATGAGCCCTCAATGAAACAGCTCGTAAAATTGTATAGACACACGTTATTCTTTATTACAGCAGTGCATTCGGTTAGAATCAGCAATATTTACTGTGTCTATTATAATTACGTGAGACCTATGTTATGATAATAGTGAATTGAATTTTAATAATGAAAAAGTCCGCCTTCGAATTACCGAACGCTACAGTATGATACAAGATACAAATGAAAAGCGCATTTAATATTCGCTAACGGAACCTCAAAGAGGTAAAAAACTATACCATGTTAATTACTTACCGCGTCTCTTAAAATTTCTTCCCTCGACATAATGTGTGGCCTGTTGCCCCTTTCTCCATCCAATGTAATGGAATAAACATCGGGTGGTTCGACGGCGTTGAGGTGTCCGGCATAAAACAAACCACCCATTGCAGTTAAAACGCGCAACTTGTCCACCCCCAGACGATCTTCAGTGAGGGTGCATGGATTTGGCACTACGGGTACTTCTTCCGCTTTCTCGGGAGCAACTTTCTCCTCTTCCTCGGTTCGATAATTCTCGACAGTCTCTTGTTCTTCCTGGATACCCGAGTCTTCTTCATCCTCTATATTGTGTTCTGTCATTTCTTCGCCGTCGCCGATCGCTTCCTCGTCCACTACTTCCTCTTCCTCCAGTTCAGATTCGTACTCGTTATTGTCGTCATCGAAATATGTTTTCAACGTCGGTTCAGCTTTCAGTTTTGGCCTTATTTTGGATGATTTAATGTCGTTCATCGTTATGGTGTTATTGTTCTTAATTTTCTTGAGTTTGTGTGTATAGGTCTCTTCGACGTATCTGGGCGGAGTGGCATCTGGATACTCCTTGTTCTGTTGCTTAAGTTTCTCTTTTGCTGCGAGAAGGTATTCTACGAAATTATTTTTTGGCTTTTTAGCGACTATAGTTTCGGTAGTAACTTGTTCCCCGTCGGATGAGGTCAACTTCTTCGGCCTACCCACCTTTCGTTTTTTCGAAGAAGAATGTTTTTCTGGTGACGAATCGCAATCAGATTGAGCATAATTGTCTAGCCTGGTCATGGCGCATAGTTTTGGTGGTTTCAGTAGATCCGGTAGATCGCTGATTGGATTTACCGGCACGTCCATTTTGTCCAGTTGAGGTGGCGGGGTACTTCTATCGGAATGCGTAGATTTCTTGCGTGACTTCTTCTTTGGACAGTCAGACGAATGAGAGTGTTTTCTCGTCTTGAGTTTGCTCAGCTCCTTCTGTTTTTCCCTATACTGCCTCTGCAAATCTGCCAATCGTATTCGCATGTCCAACTCCATGGCATTCATGCAAGGCCATTCTCGGTTGCAGCAGAATGTAGATTGAGATTTACTTGCTAAAAATTTTCTCACTTCCTGTTCGGATTCCGGCGTTTTGTACGATTTGAATTTACACAAACACAACTCTCGTTCTTGCTTCTCGGAATCGCTTCTGTCACTCGAAATCCGTTTCTCCTTTTTCCTGCGTTGCCTCTCTCTGTCGTCGCTACAATGACGTTTTTCACTTTTAACTTTTTTGCGTTTCGGCTCGTCCAACGAATGCTTCTTAGATTTCCTTTTCTCGCGTTTTCTCTCTTTGTCGCGATCTTTTGTTCTTTCTTTGGATGGATTCACGATGCTCTCTTCTCTGATGCGTTGCTCTGCCAGAGCGCAAAGCAGATCCAAACCTCCAAAATTATCTTCGACCTTTTTCGGCTCCGCTTCTTCCATAGGCAGAGTGTCCTCACCGCTAGCCTCAGACGTGTTTTGCTCGTTGCCTGTCACTTCCGGTTTACAAACATTGTCCTCTACAGAGTTACGGCAAATTTCAAATTCCACAATACTGTTCGAGAGCAGTTCTAAACCACTCAAATCTGGTTGGCTTTGGCCAGCGGAATTTTCTGCATCGACTTCTTCTTCTTCTTCCTTTTGCTCTTCTAGAATTGTTGCTTCTTCCGGTAAAGATGCCGACGTAGAACCTGGTTCTGGATGCACTAGTTCCCGATGTCGATCTGTTGCCTCGTTGATTGAAGTCTCCGGATTTTCTTGTTCCGGTTTAGTTTCGACTTCAGACTTGGCTTTATCTTCGGGCAACTCTTCGGCTATGGTTTGAGTAGTATTGTCGTCTTCGCTGCATAACGGGGTGTCCGTTTGGTTGCTCGCATCTTGAACCGCAGAAGTAAGAGTAATTTGCTCCTCCGTCTGCAACTGAACCGTGTCCGGCGGGGGAGTCAAGCAAGCAGTAACGGGTGACGTAGCTTGTGATCTACACGCAGTTTCCGCCGAATTAGGTGTCTGAGACAGTAACAGGTTTGTGGGATGTTGATAAATGACGTGTGTAGTAACCAGTGCTGGGTCGGCAAACATCGTTCCCGAGCTGTTGCCGATAGTGCTAACAGCTTGAAGGGTTTTGGTTTGATCCAGAGTTCCATCAGTCTCAATTTTAATCAACGTAGTGGTCGGTACTTGCATTGGTAATTTTCTCTTGGTATCGGTCGTAACCGCGACCAAGCGGGTGCTGTGCGTCTGCGTATGTTGATGCAGTGTAGTACTGCTCGAGAGGTAATCGGAAGATGCCGAACTAAGTAACTGTAGGGGTGGTGGTGGTAAAGATGATATCGATGGTAGTAAAACCGAAGACGGTTGAGGGTAGCTCGGCCAGACGACCGTTTGTTGCACTGGTTCCGCTGAAAATCAAATACACGTCTCGGTTATTCAACAAAGTTCGGTAAGAAAGGTTTGATGCGAACATCTGTGCCGTTGTGCTTGTACTATGGAGACTAGGCTACTGCGAACATAGAAAATCAATGGGCGAATAAAATATACATTGCAATTGCAAGGTTTGGTTTACATTTCTTGTTAAGTTGAATACATAATAGGGAATAATGTTTAGAATTGGTGGAATCATCTTCAGAGTATCACAATAATAAGTACAGGTTAAGTACACATTTTCCTGTAACAACGCATCTTAATATCAGAGGCGCCACAATAGTGGCGGTTTAGGTTATTTTGCTGCCTATTTTTTCCAAAATTATTTTTTTCTGCCAACCTTTTGAGTTTCTAGTCAAGGGTTTAAAGTCATTTACCATATAGGTAACTATTATGTATAGTTTCTTCATATGGTTGACGTACATTGCCAATTTTCTGTTGATCTTCGTAAAAGAACATTTCCATTTATTTGACCTAATACCCCAATGTTGCACGTATATGGATTAGTGTTCGTTATCAAGTGTAAATTAACAAATTCAGAAGACCGATGCGCTTGAATATATATCTTTTAGCTATTCATCCCTCAAAGGTAAGTCTGTCTATCGTTTTTAGATGTGTGTTATGAGTAAAAGTAGCACATGGGAATATATAGCACAACGAAATATAGAGTCAAGGGAGAGACTGCAAGTACCTTGTGAAACCGGTGGGTGAGGCATGAAGATCAGGGATAGGATTAGTAGTTAACTTGAAGGTTGACTGCACCCAGGTCGGTCGGTAAGGGATGAATAAGTGCAGTAGTCTTCGGATTTACCTTACTTTACTCTGTTAACGGATCTGTCCGAAGTAGCGTGTAATTAAGTCAATTTAGCTTTAGCACTGAAATATTGTCTGCCACATTTAAAAAAAACGACGATTTTCTACTTTTGGTTTACAGTTCGACCCGCTTCGCGTATCACGTTCGTAATAGCCTGATCCGCAATGTATGTGCATATTATGTAATAGGGATGCGAGGGGTCCACTTTTACCGGGTAAATAAATCAAGCGTATACATTAAACATAGAAATTAAGGCCGATAAAAAAAAAACAAACCTATTCCAGTGGTGGGTAAAAGGAGGAGCCCCCCAGTGGTAGGATCGCGAACTAGCTGAAACCCCACCGGAGGCATACTGGGTACCGGAAGTGGAACCATTGGCTCCACTGGAACGGGCGCTAAAACAAAACGAAACCGTTAAAAACCGAAAAGCGAAAAATAATTAGAAGCCGAGAAGCGTAAAGAAATGGGACTGGTAAGGGACCAGGACAATATTTGACTGCGCTAAGTGTGTTAGATCGTTGAACGTGTTGGTACTATCTACAGATTACTGTAACAATTAACTCGAACGACCTTGAATTTTAAGTTGTTACTTTCGTCTTCATTAATCGATCAGGGATGTAGGAACACAAGCGGTTTGTTATGTTAAGTATCTCTCGAGGGCAAAAAATCCTAAAGTAGCTTTTCGGGCAGACACCTGTTGAAGGAATACTGCGCAGCAAATTATCGCGCTCGGAAATTGCAGATAATCTCACCGTGGGTAAACACGAATGAGTCACCGACACTCCAAAACATCTTCTTCCTCAAAAACGAAAACGCGTGAAAAAAAAAAAACGTTCACTACCGCGCTACGACGCCGCTACAAAACGACTTCATAGCTTTGGCGATCGTCGAAGACGAAAAAAAAAAGAGTTACTCAACAAAAACCGGTCTATAAACTGTAGAAAAAGTGGCCGACTCACCGGGATATTGCCACAGGGTGGGCGTGGCGACGGCTTGACTTTGGTTGCCGCCCACTTGCCAGGCAGCCAATGCGGTCGATCGATCGTCCGTGCATTGTAACAATGTTCCGCCTTGGGGTCCCGTCCCAGACGCGTTTGCAGCCATACTCGCCATGGTGCCAATATTATCTAAAAGGAATTTCAGTATCGTTTACACATGCATCATCGTAGTTTGGAGTGTGTGGGTATTTGCGCTCTGCGCACGGCGTAATTTTTCGGCTAGAAGGACCAAAATTTAGCAGGATGTTCATCGAACACCAGCTAAATTTATGCTTCTTTTTTGTGGCGTCTTGCGTCAGGTTTTCGGTCATGTCAATAACCGGTTTAAATTTATGCAAACTACATCGAATAGGTATCAAATTTCCTTTTATTTAGGAAAGTAAAAAATAAAGATTTCTGAACAATTAGGAAAGAGCTTTAGAGAATTGCATTTGCATATTCAAACAGTTTACGTACAAGTCGACGATATTTTTCTGGGTGTTGCCTATTTCCAAATCATCGGCAACAGGTAGAGGTGTGAAGAGCTTTACCTCCCAACTGAATGTAACTACTAGTGGGGACGGTTTAGTTTAAAATGAATATTTTAGTAGCAAATAGGAACTAAACAGAACTATATGAATGTTTTGCTTTAGTTGTCTTCTTCCTCACTAATCCTGTATTAAATGCTACGATATTTGTCCATATTATTAATGCCAACCAAATTGACAACAACTAACCGACTGAAATAAGCCTTAAAACCTTTTATAAACATATTCATCAATCGTTAATTCCATTTCGAATATGAAAATTCGATTTACACATATTTTAATTGTATCATGGTCGAACAGAAATTAAGAAAATTCGTTCAATAGTTCGTATCCAACTCCAAATCCAAATTTGTGACATGCCAAAAACGAGGAGATAATAAACTTATCAAAGAATCATCACCCACCATAGTACTAAGTTATCATAACCCAATTTAGGCAATAATAATCAAAATTTTGCCAATGAAAAGGGCACTACAACCAAATTATTCTATAGAACAGGTCAGTTTTCTTCAACCTTCCTTCCTCCGAAGTTTAAGTTTCCACTCAACTGGTATAGGGGTTAAAATTGATAAATTTTCGTTAGAAAATCAATTAAAAAAAATGTTTCGTTAAATGATTATAGAATGTTATATACCTAGATAATTAAGTGGATTAGACTAGACGCAATAAACTGAATTGTTTACTAGAAAAAGAAAAAAAAGGAATAACTCGCAGTATTCCAGTGTCAAACTATATGTCAAGTCCGATGGATAATGAGGTAATGAGGTATGTATCAATGTATATAGTAAGGCCTCATACAGAGCTTTCAATTTTCCTAATTGTATTTGCATAGTTATTTATTAATCGATTTTATTAGCAAAATGCCAGTGTGATTTTCGTATTGGTGGAAATGGATTTTTTTTTAATAAATTTGTGAAACAGACTTTGTTCGTCCCGTATCTGAAACCATTTACATAAATTTCTCTGCCATAATAATATCTTGTTTCTTTCCAAGCTCCCTACATATTCAGAATTCAAATGATAATAATAATATTGTTTTAACTTTTTTATAAATTTATGTTATAATATTTATACTATATTATATTTTTTACAAAACTTCTGAAACAGTTTCAGTCAAGCTCTGAAGAAACCAACAGGATAATTGGCGAAACGTCAGCAAGTTCGACGCAGGAGGAATCGAGAATGTTTGTAAAAAGTATTACAGTAGCCTGTGGAAGTTACTTTGAAAAATTATATTATATTATTAAATATCAGCAGTATTACACTCCTATCTGCCACCCTCTTTCTGATTTTTGATGTTCTGATAAATTATGAAGTGGCATACTCATGCAAGCCAACAACTGCTCCACCATTTTATAATGTTTCACTTTGACCAACGCCTTTTCATAGTCAATATAACACGCATGGTCCATACACTTCTGTGTGAATACCTGTATACTTCTCTTAAAAACCTTTTCCTTTGTTTTTTCATATAGAACATGTATTGAAAGCACTGAGACTATATAAAAATAAAATGTATGGATCTGGATCTAACCGTTCTATCAATCGCGACAAAATTGGAGAAAAAATATTCGGACGCGCCTCACTGTTTGTTGTAATTAAAAAACCAGCAACAGGCAACTATAGGGCAGAGAACCACGCGATGCAAATGACGCGTCAAAGTGTGTTATTTATGAACAACCTTTATAGCACACGAGCTGTACTATTATACAAATTACGCGAGCTACAACAATTCATAACCATTCAAGGTTGACCTGCGTGTTTAAAAGATATTGTTGCGCTTTTTCTATACCCTCTCTCCGCCGGGCATTACAATTTGTAATAACGAGAAGAAGAAAGGTTCTATTGTGAATGGGTCATAGCCGCGACTATTTTTCAACAAGTCATTCGTTATAAACTTTTTCCTAGTAAGTACGAACACTTATCTGTTTGATTTACCGCTGTAGCAGCGACAACCATAATGAGCCAAAAACAAAATACTCAAGGCTTTTAATTTTGATTTTTTTAATTTGATTTAATTCGTTTAGAGACGAATTGCAATTACAGTCGACCTTCACTCAGCAAAGTAAAAAATATTAGGCATTGACACATTTCAACTGTTAAATGCGCAATATTAATTTTGTGATAAAATATCTTACTTCATTTTCAAATATTTACTTCGAACTGGTCATGCGCTTTTTCAGACTCCTTAAAAGTCGACCAAAAAAATTGTATCGGCCTTCATATTGAATTGATTTGACTTCATTAAGTTTTTGACATTTTTAAGCAATAAAGGCTAAAGAGGAAAATATATGAATTGGGCCAAAAATGCGACATTACAATTGTCGGGCGATATTTTTAGAATCATTAATGAAGTCTTAAAAATTCCAACCTTTATCTCGTAAACGTTAATTTCAATAAAAGAGGCTGTTGAACCCAGTTTACATACTTAGTTTTAATTTTATTTTTTTTAAACATTCTTTTAGTTTTTGGTAATATACAAAGTTGTCTGAACTTGACTTACAAGTTTCGCGGAATTAAATTGAAATGTCAGCTTCCTAAAGTTATGAAAATTTCTGTAATGTGTTCTGACGGACTACTTTTTTTTGAAATTTATTGAACTATTGGCCACTACAATTCTTCGCAACATTGACCTTCGATTGAAAGCTACCGGCTTTATGAATTCCTAAGGGCTCGGACTCATATCTCAGCAAGTACCTCGAAGTCATTTTATATATGGAGCCTCATCTCAGAAGAAATCTCAATCGGGAACCCTATAGGAAACCGTGAGTGTTCAATTTGCATAATATAATCGTACCGCCACCACCACCAACAACGGCCACCTCCGCCTCGAAAACAACTTCGTCTCCAATGTTGCCTTTATTAATTTCTGCCGTTCAAATCCTCTTACCAATTTCTGTAATCCTGGAAATTTCTTTGATCTGCGCCCCGCCCCCTGCATTAACCGTGGCGAGGAGTCCTACAGGCGGTAGGGAGGGCGAGGCGATGAGTTCCTGCTGAACTCTTTGTCTTGCCGCTATGCCCACGGGAATATGTCCTGCTGTAACCGAAACGGGTGACAATTAGGAAACTTTCTGGACGGGAACGTGTCTGATAAATAGAACGACGAACCATATTTTGAAATCATATTTATTGATTGTTTGTGCACAAACTGATATTGAAAATATCAGAAGAGTTAGAATTAGGGCATCAACATATTAAACTTACATCCATATAACTTAGCCAGGGATATGCATCACATAGGTGTGCAAGTAATTGTTTGCGGCAAACGAACTGGCATTAAATGTTTGAAAAACCCAACAAATGTGGCCTTGAAGCACTTGATTTTTCGAAGTTTTCATATTTGACCCGCATTAATGTAGTCCGAAAGTATAATATCGATATATTCTAAGGTAAGGAATTTATTGTTTAGATTTCTAGCTATTACATTTGTACACCTTTTCATCCTTGTAATGTGAGGAAGAGAATTTGGAATTTCAGTAGTATGGCTCACCGTCTGGACAATAAAGAAGATATGAGAAGAAGGAAGATATATTCCCTTCATCAAAACCAGATTGTGTTTACGTTAGATAAACTGAAAAGGAAGCTAGAAGAAGATAAAACCAATATAGTTATTAACCAGACCACCTTCCATAGGGTTAGGTATTTGTAAAATGGGATTTAAGTATTGCAAAATTGACAAAAAACCAGGGGTTTTGGAATAGATTGCGCACTTATAAATTAAAAACCAAAGATTCGACAATATACAACATTTATTTAGATGAAACTTGATTTGATACACACTAAACAGTATCCAAAGAATGGGTTGATTCCAGTAACAATTGTCAGACAAAAGAACCTTCAAATAAAGGGACAAAAATAAGGAATTCACTCTCAGGGATTTATTCTAAATTCCTTACTGTTATCTGCATCTATCATCATGAACTCAGAACTTTTTGAAATTTAGCTTCAAATTATCTTTTAAAAAACATTCCGGAGAAATGTGTTATTGTAATGCATCACGCAAGCCAATACTGCCAGCTGCTACAAAAAGCACCAAATTTATCAAGTACAAAAAGCAAAATTCAATAATATTTGTTACTAAATGATATTTTGAATCCACTCACAAGGGCAATTTTTGGAAGTGTTACATATGCTATATAACCTATTAAAAAATAATATTTATGTGACAGTTCAGCTGAACAGATGATTACATATTTACATACGATTTTACGTCGTCCTTCATATCATTGTATATTCAACCCCACAGAATAATAAATTAACTTAAAAATATAATTAATACCTGTTGAGACATGGAAAATACAGTACAGATACAATATCATTTATAAGGGAATTTTCAAAAATTCCTTCATATAGCGTGTGCGCGTATCAGGTATGCGGAAAACGCATTTTTGAACTGTGAATTAAATCGATTATTTAAAATGTAAATGTATCAGTTTCTATTTGATATTCACGGCGTGCCAGATATCGATAGATTAAGGTAATTTTGTAAACGACTAATTGAATTAAGGCGAATAGCTTAGTAATAGCTGAAAACCATAAAATACTTAGATACAGTTTAATCGAAAAAATCAGAGAAAAAATAGTTTTGAGTCATGTCTGCAATATCTTAGAAAATTCACTCAAGCAAATAATTACTTAGAAGTCTTGCTAAGCTATTAGTGACTACCTTGAGGTCCAGTTTTGATATTGATATTTTATATTTTTTTCTTCTGCGTTTCGCCAAAGATGCTCCTGACTTCTTCACAGCGCCGTCTGAGAGTAGTGGTTCAATTTATGAACAAATATCAGGAAAGTTATGGTTTCCTCGATCATCGTAAATATTTTTATGGAACATTTTGAAAAAATTGTTGTCGATGGGTTCCATCTAAAGCAGAAAGTGTAAAAACGATTTGAAGATGATACAGAGCTTCATTCCTTTCTAAATAACCTAAACGTCATGCACTAACCAAACATCATTTTTACTATCGAATTACAAAATAACTGGTCTTTCTAGACATTCTCGTTAATCGAGTCGGCACTGAACTGACTCATACTGGTCGGTACTTGCCGAAAAATATTTCGTAATTAATTTCGTAATTTTCAGACAAACATCACTATCTCAATCCATGTCTCTTAAGGAATCAATATATCTCACCTCAGTTTTTTTTTCAAACAACAGAATATCATACGTTCGATCAACAACTACAACTCACCAGAACCATTTACCTAAAGTAATTCCGTAACTGACCCTCAATTGGCTACTGTAGTACTTAAAAATAACGAACAGTTTGAGAAAGACATAACATCAAAACTCTCCTAAAAACCTAAAATCGCCCATCATCTAACTTCGGTTAAAAATAAAATGTCTCTCCATACAACAAGTGTTCACAGTATACCGTGCAGCTGTGGCAAAGTATCCATCTGAAAAACAGACAGACTAAAAGAGCGAAAAACGTCAAGACACAGAAAAACAGATTTTATTGGACAAGATTTTCTTTTACCCAAGAAAAATTCGAGAGGCCATCGAAATCATCCTAGTTCAACATAATCCGCGACACAGGTGTTTCTATCTCGTGCCTATTTGCGGTTCGGCCATTCGTGAAACAATTAAACTTCCCTCCCACTCTTCTTCTCGGCAGATATTTAAGAAGAAGCCAGCAGGATGATTATATCCGACGCAGGAGTAAACAGAAGAAGTGTATCTACCAGTTTTAAAACCTACCGCAAGGTTTCTTTGAAAATGTTCCCTGTATAATTTAATTTTTTACGTTTAACGTTTGTTTAGTAACTGTGCCTAAATAAGAGAGATATTGTAAGTGGTCACACTATTGGGCTATCCTGTATATTACTAGAGCAAAACATACAATATAAGTTTTCGACTCAACACAAAATATTTGTTCGTTTAAAAGTTATGAGGGGTGACAACGTCTATAGTAACCGCGAGTTTATCCTCCGATCAACAGAGTGAGTTGTGTTGTGTTTGGATTTGAAACCAGTAAGCTTTCCCTTTAATGCTGAACACTGAAGAATCCATAAAGGCAGTGAATTGAATAATAATAAACGTGATGAGAAATGACTCAATTTTAAATTTTGCCAGCTCTCTCCCTCTTGTTGTCCGTGTTTTGTTGTTATTTGTCATATTCTAGGTTTATGTAGAATATAAGCTACTTTTAACTTCATAGAAGACCTATATATTACCCAGAATTCTTTGGGAGCTGAATTTAGCAATGCTGATTGTCCAGCATAAAGAATTTTTCTGATGGTCAATTGTAATGCTTCTTTTCTCTCAGACAAGGAATGTATTATTACATGCAAACCATGAAACTCAAATGAAACCAACGCCGGTATTTCTAATTTTATTGCCGAAATAGGTTAACCAGAATATTCTGGAGCTTGCGTAATACGAATATATACAGCGTTCGGGTTTTTATCGAACTGGGTCCACAGTTCACAAGCTTGGCATTCGGATTAAATTCTAAACTTTACAAGAACGATCTTCGAACTATCCAAAGCGGTCCCCCTTTCATAGCAAATACTCGCTACTACTGGAATTATTTTTCCAAGCCATTTTCAATTATCATGTTTTTGCTTCGCAATTTGGATTTTTGTATCTTTAGTTTATAGGTTTCTGTGTAGACATTTTTTTAATAAATATAATGGATTTAAATAATACCTTTGAGTCATCATCATCAGAAAATTTTTGCAATTAGTATGGTAAATCGGATTGATAAACATCTTTTGTCACTTTTATAGGTCGTCACTAAAAAATTGGTATGGCGAACACGTTGGTAACAAATATATTAAAATAAGAAAGGTAAAATTGTGTTAAATAAATTTAAATTTAAAACAAATAGTTTTGGTTAAAAGTTAAATTGAGGCAAAAGTGACAAAAGGATCAAATTACACATTTCGTGTTTGGAAATTATATCAAGCATAATAATCGATCCAAAGTTGGTGCTCGAGTTATTTCTATAATGTGGATTAATAATTATTAAATTTATTTTTTTTTCTGTTTATTTTTCGGGATTTTTATATTTCCTAGACTAGGCAGGTATCTTATTAGAATCTATGAAGTTTTTTTATGTTAAACGTTCTTCATTAGTGTCTTATAAATAAATATTATGAAGATTGACACTTTGCTTTCTGTTGTGTTAGATGCTTAGGCTTTTACTTTAGCTACAATCAGAAAACTCAGCGGATCAAGGATGCTGCACGCATTTCGTCAATATTTATTATTACGCGCGAAGAAATCAGATATCTTTTTTTTTATGCCAAACAGTTAATGAAAGAAATATAAAATAGTTTTACTTTTAAAAATTAGTTTAAACACACATTTAAAAAAATGAATTCTGACAGCATGTAAGTTTTTTAAGGTCCCCCAAAGATTTATAATTTTTTATGTATATATAAAAAGTATAAATTAATAATAATTTTATTTCTAACTCTTCCCGATTCCTCCTGCGTGGGCTGTTGATGAATCGAACTTGCTAACGTTTCGCCCATCATCCTGTTGGCTTCTTCAGAGCTTGACTGAAATTTTTTTTCTAGGTAGAACACTTGAATACAATACTTCTACCAAACAGAAATCTCTAAACAATGAAACAATATTAACCGCGGCTCATTTTCCTGCTATAGTTCCGCCCCCCTAATCAGAGTACAGGTACAGAGTAGAATGCAAACCAGTTTCAGTTAAACTCTGAAGAAATCAACAGGATGATAGGCGAAACGCCAGCAAGTTCAATTCACCAATAGTCGACATGGGAAGAATCCAATAGATTTGTAAATAATTTTAGAGTTGCCTGTGGAAGTTTCTTTGAAAAATATTTTTAAAAAATTGCTTTTCTAGTTCTCTTGAGATGCTCTACCAGTCTAGAATATTTTCAGGATTGTTGTTTTAATAAATTTAGGTTAAACCGGAAGAAAGCGCCAATGAATAATGTGACATGGGTTTTGCACTGGTCTAACTATTTTAGGCATTTTCAACTGTGTATTACTTGAAAACGGTTTCAGATATAAATTTGCACGACTTATTAAATATGTTTGGAATTGCTAGAATAATTCAAAAATCCCATAATATAATAGTTGCTCTATATGAAATTTCAATAACGATATCATTGAAAATATTTTATATCTACTCAACAAGTTCAAAAACCTGAATTTCTCAAAATTATTCACACTGAATCACTCTCTATATTAAATATCTCTCATATCAGTACATAAAATGTATTACAACTGTGCGCTACCTTGTAGGTTATTCAATTAAAAATGTTTTCTGTTCTGTAAGCTAGAGTTCTCCAAAAGATATACCGTTTTTACAACCTTTTATTCAGAATTCGTATCACAAGCCAGGGCCGTATTTAAGATAAGTGCATTTTATAAATCTTCTTAAAACAATCCGTACTTGAGGTAGCTCGTTTTCAACGTGAATTTGCCCGTTACATAGGTTGATCTCCTATACTAAAAATATATTAGAAAGTTTAAACACAATAATAACTCAAAAATATTTTCCTAGGAAAGCAATACAAATCGTATGTAGATAATTGATTTGTAATGGATGTTTTCCCAGTTTGCTATTGATATGTGGGGGTTGGTGGAATCCGGAGTATACTGTCAGATTTATGAAACGGTATTTTCATAGCCTTCGGAAGCTTTGGAGGCATATCTATTCCGTCTTATGTTTGTAATTAGCAATTGGCAACTGTTATTCAATTCTTTTTTAAGAATCAGTGTTCCATTTTTATTGAGGTACCATACACATTTTATTACAATTTATTTCTGGCCAAATACTAACATTATTCATTTTGGTTAGTCACGTGAGATGTCCAGCGTCGAATAAGTTGGGAACGGATTCAAATGGATCAAAGACTCGAGCAGATTTGCCGGTTGCTGCCAAAATTATAATTTTAAATGTGTTTCTGTTGCTGAAATCGATATCCGGAGAAAGTGGAGCCACAAAATTAACGTCCGATATGACTAAAACACCGTATGCGTACGTGGAGTAGTTGTGAATGGTGTCCAAGAAAGAAAAACGAAGAAAGATCGTGGGTTCCCAAAAAGTCGGAATAGTGAGACGGTTGAGAAGAATATTGTTTTAACAATTAGAGTTACGTAGTGTTTTGCACATTGACTGTTGCCAAGAAACTTTGCGGGCGTTCGTACGACGAATTGGTTTATATTACAAATTAATAAGAGACAAGTTTTTATATGCACGAAGTACCGAAGTACGGATCTGGAACGTCATTGTGGAATTTCCTGCAATTAAATACTGGATTATGCTGTAAAAACGGTATATGGTTTGGAAAACTCTACCTAATAATGGGTGTTTTTTTTTTTGATGTATAGAACTTTAAGTCGGCATTACTGTTCAAGATGGCGACCGATTTAACAGCTGTCAAGTGTTTTATTCTCAGTCTGGTTTGGCAATTCATCATGAATAGACTCACGCCTGAACAACGCTTGCAAATGGGCCCAAAACGAGACTGCCGTTGTTCCCGATTTTCATAAGCAAATTTTGTTTAGCGATGAAGCGCACTTCTGGTTGAATGGCTACGTCAACAAACAAAACTGCCGCATTTGGAACGAAGCTAATCCTCAAGTGTATGTCGAAACACCTTTACATCCAGAAAAACTGACTGTTTGATGCGCTTTATGGGCTGGTGGAATCATTGGTCCGTACTTCTTCAAAAACGATGATGGCTAGAATGTTACAGTCAATGGTGATCGGTATAGAGCTATGATTACTAACTCTTTCATTCCTGAATTGATGTCCAGGAGATGTGGTTTCAACAAGACGGCGCAACATATCACACAGCTCGAGGCACAATCGATTTATTGAAAGACACGTTTGGTGACCGCCTAATGTCACGTTTTCTACCTGTGGATTGGCCTCCAAGATCTTGTGATTTAACACCGCTAGACTACTTTCTGTGGGGCTATGTAAAGTCATTGGTCTATGCGGATAAGCCACAAACGCTTGACCATTTGCAAGACAACATTCGCCGTGTTATTGCCGATATACGGCCATAAATGTTGGAAAAAGTCATCGACAATTGGACGTCCAGATTGGACTACATCCGCGCCAGCCGTGGCGGTCATATGCCAGAAATCATATTTAAAATGTAATGCGACAAGATTATCTTTCGGATAAATAAAATTCATGTCAATCGAATAATCCATCGTTGTTTTATTGCAACTTAAATATTCTATACGTCGAAAAAAAACACCCCTTAGTTTCGGTATGCCCTTTGCCCCAATGGACAGCGTTCAGGTCTTTGCCAATTCGCTGACAGTTCGAAAACCGTTCTAGAAACAAGCCAAGGCGCACCTAGTTCTGCGCAGTTAGATAGCAATCCGTGAACCGTTCAAGGATAGTCCATTTTTACAAACCCGAATACGTTTAAAATAAATCCATAAATCTAAAACTTACTAGTATTGCTGATGAAAGCATTTCCAATGATAGCGTTCTGGTCACAGTTTTTTTGTATCGGCGAAGCGACTTCGACTTTGACGATAGGCGACACGCTCGTCGTTATTTCCGCCACTTGACACGGGTTCACACCAGGTTCCTTCTTCACGTTCACACCGTTCCATTCTATGGGATTCGTTCGCGAGCATCCGTTCAGTTCGTGGATCTTTTTGATCGGTGACGCGCCACAGTGGCATATTTTCGTAGGTCTCTGCAGGCTGCAGCATTTTTCGTCGCACCGTTTTTCCGCAATCTGTTGCAGCTTTTTCGGACTCGGCGGAAAATCCGCGGGCTGCTGTATGATAATGTTCGAGTTGGTGAAGCCCTTGGCCAGAAGCTCGAGCTGCGCTACAGGTATCGGCGAATATGGCGAGCCGGGAGGCGGGGTGGGTGCGCCGAAGGTGTAACCGGTTGCGGAAAATAGAGAATCTGAAACTAAAATGGAAACAATTATTATAATATTCAGGGTGTTTTATAATCGAATGTCAATAAAAAGAAAACTTCATATGAACATATGTCCTAATTGTCTTAACTTTTGGATACAGAGTGGTAAAGTTTTCAAAGATCAAATATATTTTTTCAATATCTGTAATACTACTTTAGATATTTTAATGAAATTTGCCACACATGTACAGACATTATTTAGTCTACCACATTTTTCTTTCAAATACACCACTGGCGGGGGTACGAAATTTGGTTTCTTGATTTTTTCAATCAGATGTACGGTTTTCACTACCGAGAATTATTATCATTATCATATCTTACTAAAGTAATTGTCTATCTCTTTTATAAAAATACTTCAAAAAACGAAGTACGAATACTAAGTATTCGTACTTCGTAGTACTTGTAGTAGGTTGTTTCTGTAAAAATTAAAATAAATGAGAACTAAAAGTTCAGATTTTCACGAAATTATATATTTTGACATGAATTTCGTTAAAATCTGTACTTTTAGTTCTTATTTATTTTAATAAATGGATTGGAAATGAAAAAGCCACCTCAGGTCAATCTGTAAGAATTATTAAATTTGTTGTCAAGACTTTTGTCTGACGTCAGATTTTTAATTCAGTCCTTCTCGTCTTTTGAATTTGCTGTTTAAAATATCCGAGCATTGTTATTTTAAAAAAGAATGGACGAGTTTTGATAGGAACGTTTTCAAATGTACATAGAAGGTTCACTGAACTTCGAGGGAAAATAATCGTTTAAAAAGAAGAACCAAGTGAAGAAGCAGTTTTAAATTCTATTGATGAAAATCCTGAAGTTACTACTAGAAAATTGAAAATAATCTGAATATCTCGCACATCTTGGTTTGGAAAATTTTCCACGAAAAAAATTGCAAACCTTGCTTCCCAGAGATTTTCCCTTGTGTGTTATTTTTTGTCAATGGTTTTTGGACAAAATTGCGCATTATCCTTGTTACCATTTACAGATGAAGCTAACTTTTCCAGAAATACAATCAGAAATTTCCACAATGCAGTTGTAGAATTTAAACATCAAGAACAGATTTCGGTAAATGATTGGGCTGAAATTATTGGATCCTTTTTCCTGTCTGGAAGGCTAAGTGGCTATAATTATCGCCGGTTTTTAGAAGAGATTTGCCAATGTGGTTCGTGCATGACTGGGCGCCTGCTCACTTTAGTGTTGTAAGAGAATATTTACATGGCTACGTCGCGGCGGACTTAAACCATGGCCCCCTAGGTCCTCAGATTTAAATAGTTTGGAATTTCTCTTATGGGGACATCCTAAAAGTCCGGTTTATCGCACCACAGTTAACACTGTAGAAGAGCTGAAGAAAGAAGACAATATGAGGAAAAGAACTGAAGCGTGTCCTTCAAAGTGAAGGACATTTTCAACAACTTATCTAGTTCCTATGTTCTACTTTTTGCAAGAAAGCTGTGAATAATTTATTTACAAACAATTTTGTTAAAAATAATTAATCGTAGGTAGTTTTTTTATAAATAAGAACCGTTTATTTTTTATCTTGTTGTTAGGATGTTACGTTATCTCATTAAAACTGCAAAATTTTTGGTTAATTTTTTCTCGAAGGACACTAGTGTGTAACTGAAAACTAGATATTTTGTTTTAGGTTAAGTTTTCCTATACCTATCTCTTACAGTTTTTGAAATAAAAATTAATGTTTTAATTAATTAATTATTGATTAATTAATTAAAAATTAATAACCAATGTTGATATTATTATCTAAGAATCAAGAAAAATAATTTTTATTTCATAGGCAGTAAGAGACAGGTCCAGGGAACTTGAACAAAATTTCCTATAATTCGAAAATCTTATTTTTAAAACACCCTGTATGTACGTTCCAAGCCAGGAATAAATGCTTGAGCCCTTGCAGCAACTGTCTGCAAGAGTCTCAATTAAATCAAGACACTATCCAGATTTCTTCATTGGTCCAAATTGCTTAAAACTCTAGGAAATTAGTTTTTATTTCGGTAACGGTAAGATATAGGTGTAGGGAAACCTGAACAAAAGTCACTTTATTTCATGTGTACAATCTGAAAGTGAAATAAGTTACACTGGGTGCCATTTAAATTAAGCAAGATGTTGCCACGTTTATATAGAGCGGTAACACTGCATATTTGAAAATATTTTGGAGTTCTTACCTCACCGTGGATTCTTTCAGAACATTATAGTTTTGTATTGTATATTTGATAAGTTCAACCTTTTTAATGAAGGTCAATTATTAGGTATATAGAAATTTTTTTGTTAATTAAACATTATGCGGGTTACCTCAGTTACTTTTGAAGATCGAAAGATGCGGTGAAAATCCAATTACACTTTTTTTGTACAAATTTTCGCCAATAGGTTTTGCTTTCAGAATGAACCTACGAGGTCAGGTCGGCAAATACAAATAGCAATATACTATAAAAATGCCACTGATTTGGCTAATTTGCTGTAGAAAAAAAAAATGGAAATTAAATACACATTAATTAATTCTATTAATTTATTAATTAAATTAATAGTTGTCTATAGTAGTTACGTAAACAGTTTTATAATTTCTTTTACAATATATCGCTTTATGTGTCTATTACAGAAGATTTCGCAGCGCCAAAAACATTTAAGCAACAGGGCGAATTTTTTTTTGAATTTTCTCCGGATTGATAATAAATTAATGGCGTTTCGTTTCGGGCAAAACAATTTGGTTGATAATATCGCTAATTTGGTATCGGCTCGGGGCTATAATTACATAAGCCCACCTGTGTTATTTACTTGACAGGTGAGATAATTCGGTAACAATAAAATATTTCACGGTGTCTAATTTAGGTACTAAGCTGGACTTGCCTTCGTGCTGATTCGTTATCGTGCGTGCAGTTCGCGTTATCTATGCCATAAAGTTGATCCTTTATTAATAATAATAATAATATATTTGTTCACGTAACTACACCATTATACACCACAAAAAGACGATGCTTCGGATGAATAAAATAAAAACGCAGTCATTATGGGCTACTCTTTAGAAAAATAATATATATATATATATATATATATATATATATATATATATATATATATATATATATATATATATATATATATATATATATATATATATATATATATATATATATATATATATATATATATATATATATATATATATATATATATATATATATATATATATATATATATATATATATATGATGACACTATATTCCGGGATATCATCCGTTCGCTCGTTGAACTCCGACTGGAATCCTGCATCCGACTAGAATCCTGCAAATCCTGCATCCGACTGGAATCCTGCAGACGTTTCGCCAAAATCTCACTTGGCATCTTCAATGCTCGCGCTCCGAAAACACTTCGAACACTCAGTGAGATTTTGGCGAAACGTCTGCAGGATTCCAGTCGGATGCAGGATTTGCAGGATTCCAGTCGGAGTTCAATGAGCGAACGGATGATATCCCGGAATATACTGTCATCACATTTTTCCATCCGTGAATCAATACGTGAGAATATATATATATATATATATATATATATATATATATATATATATATATATATATATATATATATATATATATATATATATATATATATATATATATATATATATATATATATATATATATATATATATATATATATATATATATATATATATATATATATATATATATATATATATATATATATATATATATATATATATATATATATATATATATATATATGTCCATACTTCTACTGTATTTCCAGTTCTCGTCTTAAACTCTCAGACATCACTGTGTATTTTATAGTAGGAAAAAGTGAATTTAGATTTTGTTTTGTTCCGAAGTGTAAAACCTATGCGTATGTATCTTATCGATTGCTAGTGTAATTACATTATAAAGAAATGAAAGTGGCTATTTAAAGAATTACCCTATCCTACAAGATCAGGTAATTACCACAATGGCGGCGAGCTAAATAAAAATGATCCAAAATTTAATGTTTCTGGAAAGCTTTTTTTTCTAGTATTACATAGATACAGATATATACAACACATTCCACCACAAATCTATCATCGTATATAAATAAATTTACAATTTTTCTTTTCACAAATCAATTGTTAATTAAAAACGAATTTTATGTTCAAATTTTATAATAGAAAAATCAGGATTTTCTATCACGAGACATTCTCTTTGCATAGACTCAATTGGAGGCATGAACACCCTTCACTAATCCATCCATGTATTTGTATTGCTTCGACTAGGTCAGTTTTTTTAAGATCATTCCACAGTTTTTCAATCGGGTTCACGTCGGCACTACGTGAGGACCATTCAATTACAAGGTTTTGCTCAAACCACGTCCCTACTGACCTTGCCCTATGTTTAGAATCATTGTTCTGTTAAAATTTCCAGGTCACGGGTAATATAGGTTTGTATTTCTCATGATCCATTATTCGATCTATTTTATAAATTGGCCCACCTCCAAACCATGATATGCAGCCCCACATCATAATTGCACCACCCCGCGTTTAACACTCAATTTTGTGAACCGTGGATTAAATTCTTCAGTAAGTGGCCTTCAATGTAGTCTTCCATTCGGCTAAGTGTCTAACTGGAATGATTTCGGGTGAATTGCAATCGAATTTGACGATTCTTTTTCGTGGTTTCTTTCGGAAAACTCTTCCAAATGGATAAAACTCGTTAACTACGCGACTAATGGTTCCAACTCAAGGCTTTGGATCGTTTTCTTCCTAGTTACATTTTTAACAGTACAATGGGTTTTATAATGTTTAATACCATTATAAATTCTAAACGTGAATCACTTTAGCTTTGATGTTACTTCACTATGATCTTCCCGAACAAAATTTAAAATTATTTGCGTTTTTGCAGGAATACAACTTTTTTTTTACATATAACGTTTGTTTTATTTTGTAATGAGGCCCTAGGAAATGGTGACTCTTCCTAAAATTAAAATCTCTCTAACTGCTGAAC